GGAAAGGGCAGTAAGAATGAGGCCATGAAAATTCAGCTCGAGCCAGATTGTGGAGAGCTGTTAGTCATGCTAAGGACCCTGCACACTCTGGGAAATAGGCAGCTTCTGAAAGTTGTACATGAGAGTGGAATGATTAGTACCTGGTTTTGAGCTTATTTCTTTGTTTTGTTGTTTTTAATTATTTACAACCAGTGAGAACTGTTAGCAAGGCTGCCAAACACAAGATGAACATAGAAAACTAGTGATACTAAACACTAGCAACAAATAATTTAAAATGTCATTTTCAGAAGAAACAATTTGTAATAGCAACACAATTAAAATATAACTTGGGAAAAATCTCAAAAAATATGTGAAGTGTCTTTTACACAAAAATTATAAAGCCCGAGGGGCACCTGGGTGGCTCAGTCGGTTAAGCATCTGCCTTTGGCCCAGGTCATGATCCCAGGGTCCTGGTATCGAGCCCCACGTGGGGCTCCCTGCTCAGTGGGGAGCCTGCTTTTCCCCTGCCTGCTGTTCCCCCTGCTTATGCTTGCTCTCTCCCTCTCTCTTTCTCACCCTGTGTCAAATAAATAAATAAAATCACTTTTAAAAATTATAAAACCTAATTAAAAAATATATGAGAAGTTGTAAGTAGAGAAATATGCCATCCTTATAAATGGAAAGACAATAAATTGGCCTATAAATTCAATGCAACTCCAATGAAAATCTCACAGAGCTTATTTGTAGTAGAGGCCAGTCGGTCCTTATAGTCACATGGAAAAGAAAGGGTCAGTTTTGTCAAGATAATTTTGAAGAAGGAAAAGGGTAGATGTCAAAACCCCACAGATGTCAGATTAAGAGGTACAAATTTCCAGCTAGAAAACAAATAAGTTTTCTTATTTGTTTAAAACTAGGTGACCTGAGATTGCCCCAAGGACAGTTACGGTTTTCTCTTTCTTTTTTGGGTTAAAGAAATAGTGTGGAGGGAGGGAGTAGGAAAGATGACACTGATGACAAAAAGACAGGAGCTCCTCACCCACTTTAAATCAAAGTGACCCTGAACCTTAAACACAGTGATTCTGACTCATAAAGTCAAAAGCTGTTTTCAAAAGAAGCCCTCACAAGAGAGGGGCCTGGCCGAAGGATAACAATTCTAAGAAGCTGGAATAAAGTTTCAATCAGCCAGCTGGCATGTACTAATCACCGGATATGTGCCGAAAACAAAGGAGCTAGAAGATGAAATTGTAAGCACAGCACCCTGGGTAGAGGCAGAAGTCACACATGAAATAACTAGAGAAACCACTTTTATTTATTTATTTTTTTTAAAAGATTTTATTTATTTATTTGACAGAGAGAGAGACGGTGAGAGCAGGAACACAAGCAGAGGGAGCAGGAGAGGGAGAAGCAGTCTTCCCGCTGAGCAGGGAGCCTGATGTGGGACTCGATCCCAAGACTCCGGGATCATGACCTGAGCCGAAGGCAGACGCCTAATGACTGAGCCACCCAGGCGCCCCGAGAAACCACTTTTAAAAGCAACACACTAGTAAGTGTAGTCAAGTACAAGTATAAACGAGAAAATGCTGAGAGCTGCCTGGGGGGTGGGGGGGAACCACAGGCAGACGGGCCCAGGGAGACCTTGTGAAACCGGCCTGGGAAGTGTGTGGCTATAGGAGTCACTGGGGTTGAATGCTACTGGTCCCCTGTCACTCTCGCATTCTAGCAGGACAGCACCAAAACTATCACTCTGCACTACCCATTGCATCTAAATTCCATCAAATTATGACCAACCTAACAAGATGTAACTTCAAAATCTGCCTTCCTCTGTAAGAAACTGGCTAAGGATTTGTCTAAGATTTAAGAAATTGGTAGGCCTGTCTTCCTACTTGTTGTTCTCTTTCTTGTTGTACGTCTTAGGATGCTGCAATTGGCTAGGAATTTCTTCTCCCTGGGGACTCTTTATCTTTGGCCTTGGATCATTCACAACTATTGCTTGTGAGGTACAGAGCACCAGCAGGGAGGAAGAAACAGAGGTTAATACCTGGTGGAGGATGTGATTCCTCTCACTGAGAAGCTTATTGTTTAAAGAATGGTGAGTCCCAGAAGGATGTGAAAATATACATGAGATCGTAATGTTCCCTCACAGGAGTGCTGCCTACACTGTGCATCATTAGAACAGACATGGACCCACTAGGGCTTTCTAAACCATTTATATCACACTGACTCAAAGAACCAACTTAATATATCCAATAACCAACATTCCTGCTACAAGTACCTCACCTCAGTTGGGTGTTGGCTCATTCATATTCCAGCCAAAAGGTAATGTACCATAAAGTGCATACTGATAAGTCTCCAATGATTAAGGCAACCACATAAATCTCATTACTTAAAAGAAATTAAACTCACTGTGGTTTATATAGCAATATTCCTCATCCATGTCCGATGTCAGATAGTTCGCATGCCAGTCACAGTTAAATATAATTTGCTGTAATCCTGGTGAATGGGAGGTAATCAAGAAGTCCTCAACTCCAGCTCCGAAGCAGCACAGAAGACATTTCTGAAATACATTAATAAAGAGTGGGTGGGGAGAAGGCTTCCTGACAATAACCGACATCTGTTATGTATCAATAACGTTCCCTGGGTTCTGGTATTCTATTTATTAGAATTATAAATATGTACACAGTTTAAGAGATTTATCTGATGTTTCTTATTTTTTGTTATCCTTGCATGGTTACTAAAATTGAAATTAGAGCCACCATTTCTTGAATGTGCTATTCTAAATCCTTAGCTTACTTGATCTCCGCTCAGCCTCACAACAACCCCATGAGAAATTATTCTGCTTGCCACTTTGTAGCTAAGGAAAGTGAGGCAAAATAAGTCACATGCTGCCTGAAGTCTCACAACTAATCAAAGGCGAAGACAATACTTACACTAGCTCTGATTCCATAGCCCAACCTCTTTAACTATTCACTGCTCCCCTGGTTGTAGACACTTTTTGTATGATTGTTCATTAATATGTGGATAGGTGGATAGCTCAACAATTTCTAAAGATAGTCTGGGGATTCTGGTTGGATGGAGGACTAGGAATCTTACTTGAGGAAATATTTCAATAGCACAATTTCATTTTCACTAGATGGCAAGTTATTTGGGGTGGTTTATTTGGGCTGATTAACCGAGTTTAGAGGAGGTAAGGGTTAAAGGCCTCGCAAGCCATCCTTTGGTGCTGCTAATGTAGATCACGTTACTATGTATTTAGTATCATTTTCTCTTTGGTTCCCTGAAGAAGGGATATCTGTCCTATCTCACACCTTCAAATGTAAAATGTTATACCATATAAGTACTATGGATCACAGTACTAAGTCATAATTACTTTTTCCCTATTGATTTTTTTGCTGTGATCCACTGAAAGACATAGAAGCTACTGCTACACAATGCCTAAATAATTGTTTGATTACATGTGGGGGGAAAAAATTCACATCCACTAGCCACAAAACATCACATGTCAGAGCCACTTCAATTATGTACCTTATTTCTAATGGTCATGCAGAATTTAGAAAGCACAGTTGTTCTAAAGTTGATATCGCACAAAACCCCAAACCTGTTGGAGACTAGGGAAACTATTTTGAATACAGGCAAAATTTTGAAGCACGAAAAACTGTTTTGGGCACTATATTCCTTTCCCAAGCACTTAACCCGAGTCTCAATTTTACTCTAAACTGCGTTTGTTAGTATTATCTCCTATAGGTGTTACCTGAGAAGAGCTGTCATCAGCTTAGTACCAGCCTAACGTCCTCAGGTCTCAGAGGGCTCTGAAACTGCACAAAACTGGATGATGACATCTATACCCTAGATATGTTAGGAGAATTCAACACAATTCTTTACCTAGACTAAGGAGCACAGTACCAGACACACAATAGGCACTAGATAAATGGTAGTTATTTGGTGCTATAAGCATATACAGCGCTGACTGGGTAAGGGGTCTAATTCTGCAGAGGGAAGAGGTTTGAGGGAGTCATTTTTGTATTTATTCTTCCTTTTCTTCCTCAGTGAATGATAAAGATGTGCTGTATGATTTTTAAAGATGAAAAATGTTAAGTGCCATTCATCTGTAGCATGAATATATACACTTGCAGACCAAAAGGCTAATTAACTCGGTTTTTAGAAGTAAATCATAGAGCACATCATATACAATGGTGCATTATCAAAGGCTTAAAAACCCCAATTCGTCCACCCACACTGTGCAACTAGCAAACATGACATTTGGAAGTGTGAAAATCAAGCTTACGAAAATGTTTACATGTGAAGACAAACTTGTGGTGACTACGTACGTATTGTTGAAATAGGAAATTACTTAACCAGACTTGGGGTGGAGTCACAGCCCACTTAATTGTGTCATAAGGAAAAAATAAATCCATTAATTCAACACACACTTGTTGAGCGCCCACTACCTGCCAAACACAAACAAAACCATTCACAAATACCAGCTGGGCTTGCTCGCGGCGGGCAGCCTTCCCCACTAAAAACAGCACTATCTCGGCCAACACCTTACTCAACATTTTCACGAAGCACGTCATGGAACAAAGGGATGGAGCAAGCTTGGCCCGCCCCCTTCCACAAGCCTCGCGCGTTCACGTAATCGCAAATCGAAAACTCCAAAACTAACCTACGGCGTCCCACGAGGAAACGAAAACTAAACAGCAACTTCTTCCGCCCACGTGAAAGATGGCGCTTGACGCGTCAACCATTCCTGCTGCCCGGTTGCTTCCCTTCGGGGGCGGGGTCCAGAGAGAGCAGGAGGTGTGTGCTTAGGAGGTGTGTGCTTTTGTTTTCCTCACCCTTTCTCCCCTCACTGATAGTATTCGTTGAAGGTGATGGACGAAAGATTGGGTAAAATTTACCCAGAAGAAGAGCACCAGACGGGAAACAACCGCAGCGTGAAGCGGGTTCGGGGTCGGGACGCGCGCGAGGGGCCCGGATCGGGGGCGGGGCCAGGGGTGGGGCGGGGCGGTGGCGGGGCTGCGGTTGCGGTCCCTGCGCCCGCGGTGACTGAGTTGCAGGCGGTGGCGAGGAGGGTGAGTGAGAAGCCGGCGGGCCGGCGACTGTTTGGGTTTGGGGTACAGGGACCGCGCGAGGGCGGCGGCGGTGGCAGCAGCTCTCCCCAGGGCTCGGCTTGTCCTCCCTGAAGGAAACCCGGCATCGGGTTTTCCAGCTGGTGACTGGTAGAGTTGCCTCCATCCGGGCCCCCGGCTTCCCGGCAGCGGCGGCACGGAGACCAGGGGCTGGGGATCGGGGCCTCTGGCCCTCTTTCCCGCCCGCAGTCCACGAGCCGGCCGCTTCCCGGGGACCCGGTGTGGGACTCAGACGGAACCGTCGGACCACCTGCGCCGCGGGTTCGAGGGAAAGCATCTCGAGCACAGAGAGGCCTGGCTCTGGGCAAGGCCAGAGGGCGGGTGGTGTGCGGTGAACCCCAAGTCCGGGTCGGAGAGGAGATAAAGCGGGGCGGGATGGCACGGGGGAGATACCACATGGCTACACAATTTGAATACAAGTTTCTAGAGATTGTTGATTCCCTATGAATTTGAGGAGCAATTCTAGACTGGGTTGTGCTCCCACTGTGTGGGTCATGACTTGCTTGCTTCACAGCTCCGAGGTCACACAGACTTACTTAAAGGAAATGACCATTATGACTTGAGCATCACTTGACTGATAGTATCTGCTGCAGAAGGAAGGGCACTGATTACATGTCTAATACGACTACACGGCATCTGAGTCACCCCCTACTCCACCAGGCTACTGTATTCAGGAGACATAGGGAAGTCATGCACTTGCTCAAGAGAGACGACCCTTTCAGAAACAATGGAGATGCTAGGCCCTAGAAAAGTAACAGTGGTTGTGGCCAGCGGATAAATTCCAATACAAACTGTTCCCATCCCTCACTTGTGATGAAAAGCAAGGGGAACATCAAAAACTAATGATGTAATGTGATTAACATAATAAAAAAAAAAGAAAGAAAAGCAAGGGAACACAACATCTCTGGCTTTACGTTTAATTTGTACTTTTAATTTGAAAAATACTGTTTGATACCATCTTTTATCGGACTTTAGAAAACTTTTAACATAATGGGAACCTTACAGAAGCGAGAATATATGGAAGATTAATAATATGGAGTCAGAACACTTGAAATATGATGGTGTTATGTGACACAGATACATATGGAAGATTAATAATATGGAGTCAGAACACTTGAAATATGATGGTGTTATGTGACACAGATACCTTTGGCCACTACCTCAGCCAAACCCTGCTACTGGAAAAGCCCTGAATTAGTTGGAAATCGCCTCATGATTGACTACTCTTTATACATCCAAAACAAAAGTGAGAGAAATTCTGGACCACATTGCTTATTGTGCACAAAGCCAGCACTAACCTGCTTCAGGAAAGTTACATAGGTGCTAAAGATTTTTTTTCTCTCTTTATAACGTTGATAAAATAGTCTCTTTATTTAGCTCTGTTAGCAGTCCAAAATTTGCTTTCGGAGAAAAAAGTAAAAACAAAAAACAATGAGGACTCCTATCTTTCAAGCCTGCCCTTGGGCTACATGTTAATTAAGTAGTTCTAAAGAGTAGTGTGGGTTAGCCTCCTATTATGTGAGAAACTTGGATCTGTGAGAGAAAGCCTGACAGTGATATAAATTTCATTTGCGAATCTTGCCTGATAAAAATTTAGGAAGTGTCACAAACAGTCGGGTGTTAACAGTTCACTGTCATTAAAGCTGGCCTGGGCAGCGTCTGTTTCTGAAAAGGGGGCTGGCTTACGACCCTGCTGCTTTTAGGGCTGGGAGAAAATAAACAGAAAGCATGGTTATAAGAAGTGTGAGCCTTATGATGGTAGAATTCTGATTTACAACAGCAGTGGACCAATCAACTTTCTAAATACCAGCAGGAGAAGAGATGGCTGGTTTTTAGCAAAGGTTTAAGAAAAAGCAAAGCTTAGAACCTACTACTCTGCTAACAGTTTTAAGAGATGGTAATTAATATGATCTTTATGTCTGCATATGTTGGATTATTTTCAGAAAGTATATTGGGTACATCCTCATGAACCCTATTCTTTGTTTACAGGAGTGGAAAGCCACCGTGTCACCCAATTTGGATCCTGGCTTCCCTCAAAAGACTCTTAAGGCTAATCTTTGATAACCTTCTGGAGTAGCCAACTACATGTAGTATATAGATAAACGACTGTTGGTTTTGACCTGATTTTTTTCAGCCACATTTGTGTATATGGAGTTTCCTCACCAAAGATGATGACTTTTAAGTGTTAGTAAAATTATTTTTACAGCTCTCTTAATTATACTTCTCTGTAACATTTCATTTCTCAAAATTATTAATTTTGGCAGGATTTTAAGCCAAACAATTCAACATGATTCTTGTCTTTTGTTTTCTTTCTAATGATAATAGCAATGAGTATAAATGAAATTAATGGTCTGTAATAGTTTAATTTTCACAGTCAGGTAGAAATTTTCTCATAATCCAGCCAGATTTTGCCCTGGGGCTTGGTTCGGTTTTAGGAAATGCTTTCATTTTCAGCATGATGAAATGTTTGAGTTAAAATATTGTTCTTATGATTATTCACCTTTTTTATCCAAAAAGGAAGAACAAAAGGAAAATGTTACAATATAATTTTGTGGCTGTGTGTTAACTCATCTCCTTGGCCTTCAGTTTGTTATTAATGATGACAAAAGCATCATTACAGTTTGAATTCAGATTACATTACTGTATTCTATCATTGTAAACTGTTTAAATTTTATGCAAAACAGTGGATATTTTAAATAAGCTAGACAGTTTATGTCCACTATAGTCTTTTAAGACTGTTAAGTTGGTATAACACATTAAAAATTAAATATTCCCTAAATGAATTACTGAACGAAAAATACATACATTAACTGCCTTTATGTTAAATCATTTCAACACGTGCATACTATAAAGTGTTTGCCAAGTTCTGTATACCTATTCTTGACATGCATGATAAAAATGCTCATCTAATACTCTAAAAATAGAAGCCACTTCTTTTCAGCAGTCTCTGAACTCTCTTGACAAGATATAGGTAAAATTCTTTAAGTAAATGAATTGTAGTTATAGATCAAAAGTTGCCTCCCAAAGCAATCCTATAGGCAAAAATAGGTATATCATAATTCACCTATTAATTGTTGTCCTTTATCATTATGATGAGTAGATTCCACAGTTTTAGACTTGCTTAAATGTAATTGTTATGGTTCTTTTCACTTTAGGTCTTTCAATACACATATTCAATTTTTTTTTAAAGATTTTATTTTTAAGTAATCTCTACACCCAACGTGGGGCTCGAACCCCCAACCCCAAGATCAAGATTCACATGCTTCACTGACTAAGCCAGCCAGGCACCCCTCTATTTTAATATTAGGCAAGAATGATTCATTTTACACTATCACAGAGAGTATATACCTTTAGAGTGTTAGATTTCAGTGGGTTAAGATATATAGGAGACCTTGATTCTTGCCTGACTCTGACCTTGGGCAGTTAGCTTTTCTCTCTGTGTCTATTTTCCCAGCATAGTGAAAGGCTTGACCAGTATCTATCCAGTCACTTTGTTCTTTACATGTTCTAAATAACCAAAGCTTTTTTAGTTTAGCCTTTTAGTATAGAACTCTTGGTAATGAACTCATTGTACTGCTACACTGCTTTCTTAAATTTAAGAAGCATATTAAATATATTTATCTTCATCTTGATGTTTCAACTTTATTTTAAACACCAGTATTGGGCTTTAGTGCCCTGAAACCCAGAGAGCTTGTTGAGAATAAAGGTACTGTTCGCTCGTTTTTTTTGTTGTTTCCAGCTTAATTGTGTTTTTGCAATCTTTTGTCTGTCTGTCTTTCTTTTTTCTTTCTTTCTCTTCTGTTTTTCTTTTTTTCCCCTTTTAACAGCTTTAGGTTATTTCTACTGACGGGTGTCTTTTTTTTTTTTAAAGATTTTATTTATTTAAGAGAGAGAGAAAGAGCATGAGAGTGGGGAGGGGCAGATGGAGAAGCAGGCTCCCCACTGAGCAGGGAGCCTGATGCAGGGCTTGATCCCAGGACCCTGGGATCATGACGTGAGCCGAAGGCAGACGCTTAACCGACTGAGCCCCCCAGGCGCCCTGTACTGACAGATGTCTCTACTAGTTTCCTAGGACTGCTATCACAAAGTACCACAAACTGGGTGATGTAAAACAACAAAAATTTATTCTCTCACAGTTTTGGAAGCTAGAATAAGGTGTCCATAGGGACATGCTCCTTTGAAGGCTATAGGGAAGAATCTTCCTTGCCTCTTAACTCATAATAGTTACCAGCAATCTTTGGCTTCCTTGGCTTGTAATCATGTTGCTCTAATTCCTACCTCTGTCTTTACATAGCCCTGTTTCCTCTTTTTCCATGTGTTTCTAAATCTTTCTCTCTTAAAGACACCAATCATTGGATTAGGATCCACCCTAATCCAGTATGACCCCATCTTAATTCGAATATACCTATTTTTTTTAAAGATTTTATTTAATTTATATGACAGAGAGAGAGGGAGAGCACAAGCAGGGGGAGTGGCAGGCAGAGGGAGAAGTAGGTTCTCCACCCAGCCGGGAGCCGGATGTGGGACTCGATCCCAGGACCTTGGGATCATGACCTGAGCCGAAGGCAGACGCTTAACCGACTGAGCCACCCAGATGCCCTGAATATACCTATTTTCAAATAAGGTCACATTCATAAATACAAAGGGTTAGGACTTGAATATATATTTGGGGGGTGGGCAGGACACTGTTCAACCCACAAGTGTGGTGGTCTCTAGCTGAGCCCTCCCTTTTCCAATTTGCTCCTCTTTGTTGTGGTTTAGGAACCAAATATCCAATCATTAGAATTGCACGTAGATTGGATATTTGGGAACAGTGAGGGTCTATTCTATGAGCTTTAGCATATGATATTTCATATTAGTGTTCAAAGACCCTTTTTTAGGTCATTATTATTTTGAATTTCTAAGTGTATTCCCTGGATATAGGTGACAAGTTATTATGCATCATAAGGTTATCATCGTATTAGCAAGCATTTGATGTGCACCTGCCATGCTAGTCAAATGTCTATCCTAGTAGGAGACATGCTTCTAAATCTTTTGACTGAGGGGAAAACCACATAGCCTAAGTCATTTGAATTTCCGATGTATGACTTTAAAATTGCTGAACCTAATCATTGGTTTTGTATGTTATTGTTTAGATATCCCTGGAGCATTTGGATAATGTGGTAGTTGGGATGCAGTGATGTCGAATCTCTGTCCACCGCCATCTCCAGCTGTTGCCAAGACAGAGATTGCCCTAAGTGGTGAATCGCCTTTATTAGCAGCTACCTTTGCTTACTGGGACAATATTCTTGGTCCTAGAGTCAGACACATTTGGGCTCCAAAGACAGAACAGCTACTTCTCAGTGATGGAGAAATAACTTTTCTTGCCAACCACACCTTAAATGGAGAAATCCTCCGAAATGCAGAGAGTGGGGCTATAGATGTGAAGTTTTTTGTCTTGTCTGAAAAAGGAGTAATTATTGTTTCATTAATCTTTGATGGAAACTGGAATGGAGATAGGAGCACATATGGCCTATCAATTATACTTCCACAGACAGAACTTAGCTTCTACCTCCCACTTCACAGAGTGTGTGTGGATAGATTAACACACATTATCAGGAAAGGAAGGATATGGATGCACAAGGTGAGTGGTTTTTGAGCTTATTAATCATGCTAACCTAGCCATTGAAAGTTTATCTTCTGATATATTTATATCTAATACTTAGAAATGATATGCAGTTAACTTCAAACAGTAGCTATTATTTGCATCTGCCCTATTAGATAGTTCTAATAGTCTGATGTCAGTGATCTTCATAATAACCCTTGAAGGTAGGAAATGATAGTTCTTTTTTTTTTGGAAATGATAGTTCTATGTTACAAGTAAAAGCTAAAGCTTAGAGGAATTGAGAACATCGTAGTAAGCTTTAGAGTCTAGGTTTGTCTTGGGAACCTTTAACTGTAAAACCTTTTCTCTTTTTGCATTGTATGACCGTTTTTTACTTAATACTGTGTGTAGGTACAAGCAGTTCAAAACAAGTGTTTAATAAGCCTTGTAGCCTTTGGTCTCTTTTACTTCTTTGCCAAGTTCTGAAATTTGTAAAATGAGGAGGTTGCACCAAATGGTTTCTAGGAGATGTTCCTTTTAATTTTGCGGATCCAGCCAGAGGAAATTACTGTCATCCCCTAAATCCTGTAATTTAATATTTAGTGATATTTATATTTTCATATACTTTTGGCAGACCTGAAGAACAAATTTAACTCTCCTTTCTGCTTTACAGTTTTGATACTAATATGGAAGTCTGTTAAAGCGTTCTTAATTTTATAAGGCTTTTACCCCTAGTAAGAAGTAATAGTATCTTTGAAAAGAAGAGTGTTTTACTGTTTGCATACTATGTTTTCTTATTTTTTTTTTTTAAGATTTTATTTATTTATTTGAGAGAGAGAGAATGAGAGATAGAGAGCACGAGAGGGAGGAGGGTCAGAGGGAGAAGCAGACTCCCCGCTGAGCAGGGAGCCCGATGCGGGACTCGATCCCGGGACTCCAGGATCATGACCTGAGCTGAAGGCAGTCGCTTAACCAACTGAGCCACCCAGGCGCCCACTATGTTTTCTTATTTTAAATGTTTATGAAAATCATTTAAAAATCAGGAAGCCCCAGATACATATAACTTGATCTTACTTAATTTGAAAAGTACAAACCATTAGTTTGTACTGCATAGTGAAACTATGCAGATGTTACATTGACTGTTTTCTAGTAAGTTATCTTTTTTTTATCTGCACAGAAAAGGGTGTTTTTATTTTATTTTATTTTGTATTGTTTATAAGAGAATGGATTTGTTGGATTAATTTCCTGCCCCCTCCCTTTTTTTTCTGCCCTAATGTGGAAAGTATTTTTCCGATGAACTGAATTACACAACAGCATGTCTGCCATTTAACTGTATTGTGAAAAATAAATATCAAAATCTTTTGTTAATTTTAATGAATTTTCTCTTGCTCAGGAAAGGCAAGAAAATGTGCAGAAAATAATCTTAGAAGGCACAGAAAGAATGGAAGATCAGGTAAGATACAGACTGCATACTATCAAACACCACCAAGTTCATGACATGCATCTGTATAAGGCTGAAGGCTACTTTTCTTAAGGCCTTGAAGCCGTACCGTACTATTTTGACAGAGTGAGTATGAAAATGAACAGAGCCTTTACGGAAATATATGGAATAAACTGGATGAAAATTTCCATATCTTAGACCTGCAGAGTTAAGTAAGTAAAGAATAATAGCAATTTTGCTACCTTTTTTTTTTTTTTCTGTTTGCACAAAGTTTTGAATAACTGGTTCATAGTAAAAATTTTAAGTTTTATATGAGATTTTCTTTAAGGCATTGCTTCTTAAGCATTTCCCCAGAAGCAGTTATAACAGGAGAGAAGTGAGTATACTCCTCTAAGATATCTGGGGATACAGGCTTAGTTCTAAGCATAATATTTATTTGAAGTCTCATGCTGTATTTTTAACACTCATGCAATTTATATTTTATTTCCTATCTATTTAATGTTCGAATTTGCCAGTGATATTCCTCACATTTCTGATTATATGAAGTCTCTAGGGAAACATGCCATGGTTATACCATGGCTTTGAATCTGCCTAGGGCACAGGCACCAGCATTTGAGATGCATGATTGCATGGATATGGTTTCCCTTGTGGAAGTTAAATATAAACCATTTCAGTGCAGGGCAGAGATGTTCTGAAGGGGAATCTCCAATGGAGAAAGGGTTCTTTGCTTTTACTCCCATTACCTCTGGCCTCTCAGTGTTCCTTGTGTTGAACTCTAGTCTAAGGATGACTGGGTTGTCTTTACTCTGGTTCTCCTTTAGCGTGCCTAAGACAAAATAGTACTTTAAACAATAACTTTTCTAAAAAAATAACTTTTCTAAAAATTGAATATACAGGACTTAAACCAGGAAAATAGAAAACCCTATAAAATGATCTCCTTTACAAAATTGTTATTATATCTGTATTTTTGCAAATAACTCTCCAGGCCAGAGGAGGTAATCCTGGGGAAAGGTCTAACACAAGAAAATGTTTCCCTTTACCCAGAGAAGCTTGGCCTTTACTTGGTGGTAAATGGGCAGAGTGCGAGCCCTGGGGAGACTTTGACCAACCTCTAGATGTACCTACTAGTTATGGAGTAGTTAGTAGAGTTACCTCCAGATAAAGAAATTTAAGACCCAATAAAATTCTGCTCTTCCTGGGATTTTTTTTTTTCAAACCAGAAACCTGTACTTAAAAAATTTCCCACTATTAACTTTTAATTTATTTCTGTTTTAAGGGCTCTTCTTGAAAATGTTACCCTCTTCCTTCTGTATATTTAGACAAACTGGATGTTTTTAAAGGGGAAACGTTCTCTTGTTAAGAAGTTCAAGTTAGAGAAGTCACAGGAGGAAAAGATACTTGAGGGATTTTCTTTTGAGTTTCTTCTGTGTTCAGGCTTGTACGATTTCTCGTGTTAAGCTTTGATGAGGATATGCATTCCACTACAATAAATATCTGAGATACAGTGTATGGCACTATATATATGCCTAAACCTAAGGGAAGATATTTTTCTACCATTATCCTTTCTGCAAAGAAGCTGCCTGATAATTGAATCCTTGCATATCTCACATCATGTGCTTAAAATGACCTTATTTTGAACAAATAAATACTATTTGGGGATGACACATAAGTCTGGAATCAGTCACTGACTTCATTCAGGGCAAGTTTTGGATGCTTATAGCTATCATCTGATAAAATCATTTTACAAGGAAACAGCTATATAGCTAGTCATTCTTGTTGAATTGCATGTGTTGATTGTAATTGTAAACAAGCATTTTAAAAATTCTTTTAAAAAGCAGAAACAGTGAGTGGTTATGTTTGGAGGTTACTACAGGATGAATTTTTTAAAATAATAAAACCTTCTATATGATACAAGGAGGCTTATGACTTAGCATAAAATTTCCACAGACAGCATCATATTTAAATTCCCAAGTTTCTGAAAAACTGGCTATAGTCACTCAAAAAATGACTCCAGGAATGACTGAGATTTAAAGACCCATGTGAAAAGTTTAATAAAATAGTTTCATGAAAGATGAGTGAAGAAAAAAACTGTTATTATTCTTAATATGTGATTTTAAAAACACATTTAGCTAAAAATTAACAGATATGTGACAATTTCATCTCTCTAAAAGTTTACATATTCAGGGGGCACCTGGGTGGCTCAGTCATTAAGCGTCTGCCTTCTGCTCAGGTCGTGATCTCAGGGTCCTGGGATTGAGCCCCACATCGGGCTCCCTGCTCAGTGGGAAGTCTGCTTCTCCCTCTTCCTCTGCCTCTCCCCCTGCTTGTGAACTCTCTTTCTCTTTCTCTGTCAAATAAATAAATAAAATCTTTTAAAATAAAAAAATAAAAAATAAAAAAAATAAAAGTTTACATATTCAGGATGGTTCAAAAATGTGGGGGCAGGGGTGATGGTAATGAATAAATGAGAGATCACCCATCTTTGAGACACTCTACATTTGTGATGTTCTATATTGACTTTTCAGTTTCATTCCAGAAACTACAAATGTCAATGATGTCTGTTTATTGATTCTTAAAATATATGTGATGATTTTGATTTGCATTTGGGTACTAAACCTTATTGTGAATGTACAGGTTGAATATTGACTCAAGCTTTACTACTGAGTTATTTGCTGACTACTTCTAAGTCTTTTTATGGTTGGTTTTCCTCATTTTTAAATATAAAATGCATCAGTGACCTTTAGTTAACAAGAGTTTTTCATATCTCAAATAAATATCAAAGGAAATCCTTTCTGAATTTGGCATGATAATTTAATTATTGCATGGATTGGTAAATCATAAGTCAATGATTCCACTCTAAAGGAAATCATTCCTGGAAGAATGAAAATTAGTTTTAAATAGTTTGTACATCCTTTAGAAACGTTTTGGAGTAGTAGAAATGTTTGGGGCTGTGTTTTAACAAGTTATCAGGTATTTCTATCAAAGGATATCATTATTTGCTTTCAGCTCTTATTTTTTTATTGCCCCATTTATCCTATACAAGTTTTCCCTGCTATCCAAAAACGGAGCATTCCTGTAAAATCTTTTATACACTGAAATGGCCATAAAGAATCAGTTACCATTAATTTATATGGAAAAGTTTTTTGTTGTTGGTCAGTGTATTTAATTAATGCTACAATAAAAAACATTAAATTTATTCATATATTTAATGTACATTGCATCTTGATTTATTAAAGCCAATTAAAGCCCACATTCTAGTGGGCATTTACTGTTTTTTATGTTATTTTATGGAGTGTAACATCAATTGCCTCCCCCAAGTATCACTGGAATAAAAAGAAAACCTTTAAAGATGTGGGGCAGTTTTTTATTTTCACAAATTGTTCCTAGAGATCTGAAACTAGAGTACTGAAAAGCTAAATTCACAAAGAAAAATGGTCATTCTTGAAGTACAAACATGTCTCTAATGACTCTTTTTGTTTTTTCTATTTATTCATTTATTTGATGTAGTGTTCCATGATTCGTTGTTTGCATATAACACCCAGTGCTCTATTCAATACGTGCCCTCCTTAATACCCATCACCGGGCTAACCCATCATCCCACCCCCCTCTCCTCTAGAACCCTCAGTTTGTTTCTCAGAGTCCATAGTCTCTCATGGTTCGTATATGGAAAAGTTTTTGAGCAGCGTTCCCAGACCCAAAAAATAATCCCTCTTAGGCATCTCTGATACCTTAGAATACAACCTACTGATGGATGGACAAAATAAATCGAGCTAAAGCACAGATGCTCACAAAGTCCAAAGCTAAGGCATCTCGGTGCTGAGATGCTGAGTGGGGTTTGGGCGGGAGCTTGGCCAGCCACTCTTGCACTATGCGCCACCTCTCGTAATGGCTCCTTCAAAACAAGTGCCTGACACTGTTTTAGTTTTTCACCTTTTTCTTTTTGGAGAAGCAGAAATCCTCTTCAGATTTTTTTTGGTTACTGAAAACAGGTACTAATGTAGGTCTTTCACAAAAGCAAAGTGGTGTAACTCAAACTTTCAAAAAGCCAGGGATACCTTCATTGTGTGATTTTCTTCACTTCATTTTGCTTTTTTGTACAGGGTCAGAGTATTATTCCAATGCTTACTGGCGAAGTAATTCCTGTAATGGAACTGCTTTCATCTATGAAATCACACAGTGTTCCTGAAGAAATAGATGTAAGTTCTTACTTGTATTATTAAATAGGAATAAGGATACCCTCTTATCACTTCCCTTGAGTTATATTAGTAGTAGGTATATTACTAGTATTGTAATTTTAGTAGTATCCATTTTTTGTCATATATACTATTCATATGAAGTATTAGCCACTTTAGCAAACACACATAAAACCCTGAGTTTTATAGCCAAACAGAGGCTTTTTTTGGTCATTGATAGGTATGGCAGAATTACATTTATTTAGTTTATTTCACCACTTTTGTATTTCTTAAAAGTAGGGGAATTCCAGACCTTATAGAAGCAATCAGTATTGAATGCGATACTTTTTGTAACAAAGCAGTATACCAATAAGTGGTGGTTTGCACAAGTTTATTTACATTCACTAATCTAGTTTTCTTTATCATTTGTTGGCATTTTGAATTACACACTCTGCATATGTAGAGAAATCTTTAGGAAACTATTCTTGTTTCTTTCTTTGTCATTAAGATTTGTCTCCTGATTCTGATAGCCCAGAAGAGGAAGTTGTTCTTGTCAAGATTGTTGCTTAACTTGCCAGACTGGTTTTCACATTTGTTCTGAAAGTTTATAGAAGTACCCAGAGGTTGTTTTATTGGGATTCTTGATGCTTAGAAATGAGGACAATGTGTCATATTGAACCTAGACTTCAGAAAACTTGTGTATTTAAGAGTGTTATTTCATTACAGCCAGAATAACTTTGGTTTTTTTGTTTGTTTGTTTTTGTGGTGTGTTTTAGATAGCTGACACAGTACTCAATGATGATGATATTGGTGACAGTTGTCATGAAGGCTTTCTTCTCAAGTAAGGATTTTGTTTCTTTTTATAAGAGATGGATAAAGCAGATAGAAATCTTAGGCTCACCTATGACATGATTTGGAAGGATGAAAACAGTAAGAGACTAGCTACCCAAATTATTCTAGGAACAGTATTGCATATTTAAACTATTACTTAGCTTTGTGCTATTTTTTTCATTTATTACATGTCTGTGATATATTTGATGTTACTCTTTTTAATATTTAAAGAAGTCGAGTATCCATAGTACCCAGGCAGGAAATCTTGGTCTCTTGTTTGGTTCTGGTTTCTTATTTTACTTCTCATTAAAGCTGAAACAAAGAACTGAAGGGGGTTCTTAGACCCATTTCCAGTGTTGGTGGGGGCTTCCCCCGCCAACAAACAATGCTCTAGATACCAAGTGGATGTCCTACAGTTTAATTCAGTTCTGACACTCTGCCTGGAGAGTGTCAGATTCCATAAATTAAGGGTTCAGTCCCACAAGACTGCGTCTCCCCTACCCCTGGACACCAGTCTAACTGACTGGCAACAGATTGGACGTCACAGCCACCCCCTCCTTGGACTTCAGACACCAGTAACAAGTCCAGGTTGTTACCTGGACTTCTTACCAATTGGCTATAAATCAGGTTCCTACAGCCCCCTCCTTGGGTTCCAAATTAATGGTTCCATTAATTTGCTAGAGTGGCTCATAGAACTCAAACATTTTATTTACTTGATTATTATAAAGGATAGAATCTAAGATACAGATGAATATCCAGATGGAAGAGATGCATAGGACAAGGTCTGGGGAAAGGGTGCATAACTTCCATACTGTCTCCAAGCATACCACTCTCCCCAAATGTTCACTAACCCAGAAGCTCTCCAAACTCCTTTTGGGTTTTTATGGAGGCTTCATTACGTGGGCATGATTGATTAAATCATTGACCACTGGATAACCTCCAGCCCCTCGCCCCTCCCCAGAGGTCGGGGAGGGACTGAAAGTTCTAACCCTTATCACGTGGTTGGCTCCAATGGTAATCAGCCCCCATCCTTAGATGCTTTCCCCCCAAAAATCACATTAACATAACAAAAGGCATCTCTATCATTTCCTACACTTAGGAAATTCCAAGTGTTTTGGGAACTGAGCCAGGAGCTGTGGATTAAGACGAAATATATATATTTCTTAAAATCACAATATCACAGAACCCTTACAAATTAAGTTTCATTTGGATGGACTCAAGTTTTTTAGACCTAGAAAAGAAAAATATTTGTATTTTTGTTGATCCTTTCCATCTTTCAGCAGATTTTAGTACTTAAAAGAGTGTGGGCTCTAAAACCAGACTTCCTGGGTTATTGCTGTGTAAACCTGGGCAAGATACCTGAAGTCTCTGTGCCCCCATTTCCTCATCTGTAAAATAGGAATAATAATAGTGCCTACTTCATATGATTTGTTGTAAGAATTGAGTGAGATAAATCATATTAAGTACATAAAACAGTGCCTGGAACATACAAGCACATAATAGCTGACATTTTCTATTTCTGTTTCTTCAAAGGAAAATGTAATAGCCAAAATTTATCAGGTGCCTACGAGTCAGTCCCTATACTAAGTGCTCTCTCTGCATGTATAAACTCATTTTTTCCCTTAGTGTTTCTTTATGATTGCAGATTATTGTGAAATTTTATTTTTTTCAATGAGAAGTGAAAGGATAAAATACTTGCTTTTTATGTCCATAGTCTTTTCCTCAGAGAATCTCAGAGGCATGAGTGTTTTTAACCTAGAAGCCTTAACAGCTTGATTCAGAAGCACTTTAGTGCTGAATCTGCTCACTGTCAACCATTCATACCATTATTTTTAATCCCATTTGATTTTAAATAATCACTTAACCTCTCTACACCTCAGATTCTTTCATTATAAACTGGTAATATTTTACTAACTGAGTTTTAAGTTCAAATGGGAGAATCTCTGTGAAAGGCCTGAGGAAAATGTAAAGTACTATGGGAAACAAGGGATGGCATTTTTCTCATAGCTTTGGCGTTCATCCTGTAAAGCTAGTCTAAGTTGTTTGAAGTTCACTTGCCCTTTTTTTGTTTTGTTTTAGTTTGTGACATTGTTTTACTGGCAGTGTTTTTCATCTTTTTTCTTCACCTTGCAGTGCCATCAGCTCACACTTGCAAACCTGTGGCTGTTCTGTCGTAGTAGGTAGCAGTGCAGAAAAAGTAAATAAGGTAATTTATTTTATAATCCAGCCAATAATCTGACTTCTTAATGCTGCTAACATATCATGGATTCTAATTTAAAAGTTAGCTTGCAGTCAAGACAATCTAATGTTATAAGGAGGTAATAGAATCTGGCCAAATTACTGTGTAACACCCTGTGACAAAAATAAGTTGAAGTAAACTGCTTAAATAGGAAATCATTAATCCGTTTCATTTCGATAATTCATAAATATTATACAATTCTCAGTATTGTATAAATGGTTTTGAGAATTTCTTAAAATAAGGTATTTTTAAAAATTATTTGTCTTCTGTTTTCTGATGTCACTTTTAATAAATAGGGCAATAACCATGTACTTTTTTTTTAAGATTTTATTTTTTCATTTGACAGAGTGAGTGAGGGAGAGCACAAGCAGGGGGAGGGGCAGAGGGAGAGAGAAGTAAGACTCCCCGCTGAGCAGAGAGCCAGAGGCGGGGCTGGATCCCAGGACCTGACCTGAGCCAAAGGCAGGCACTTAACCGACGCAGCCATCCAGGCGCCCCAATAACCATGTACTTTTGATACTAATTCCAAAGAAATGTTATCTGGTTTTTCATCTTGATTTCTTATCTTGCTTTTCCTCCTGAATCTATTTTTTGGGGGGACCTGTTGTTATTGAGTGGTCATTGGAAGTTATGTTTTATTCAGTAACATTTGTGACCACTTCCTTCAGTGCTACATGAGTTAATAAAGACTTAATGAAGTTATCTTTCCTAGCATTAGGCAGAAACTAAGGGGTTTTGCACTTTTCTTCACTGTTAATTAGAAAGAGATAAGTTGCACATATCTATCAATTTAAGTAAACCTGATTTTTCTTTTTATGTTTTACACAGGAACTATGTTAGGAATGATTATTTCCTTGACAAATATATTTGTATTTTTTTCTCTACCCTGTATGCTTGCCTGACCCTTCATTTACCAAAATTAAATTTTTCATACATCCATTTTTGAGAGGTTAGTGTACCTCTTATTATATTGGTCTAGCAATTTATTGTTATATTTGTTACCCCAAGAAGGTAGGTTTCCATCTGTGTCACCCAGAACCTTCAGATTTCACAGAAGGACTGCCCAGTAGCTTTTTGGAAGAAGGCGGCTCTGTGGTTGGGGCTCTCTGTTTTTAAAACACTTTTTTCATCCCACATCCTCTTCTGGCATAATTGCTTCTCTTTTATTTTTTTAGTATGAAAAAGGTTGCCATCACTCTATATTGAAAGCCTACTACTTTAAAGTCACTACTTTAATGTGAAAACTGTCTGGACATACTTACTTGGCTTTTTATTTTCCTGATAGAGCTATAGATCAAATCCTGTTAGAATCATAGATTTCTAAGCCCCAACCAATAGCTTGCTTATTTTAAGTCAAATTTGATGGAATTTTTTTTTTTAAGATTTTATTTATTTATTTGACAGAGAGAGACACAGCGAGAGAGGAACACAAGCAGAGGGGGAGTGGGAGAGGGAGAAGCAGGCTTCCCGAGGAGCAGGGAGCCCGATGCGGGGCTCGATCCCAGGACCCTGGGACTATGACCTGAGCCGAAGGCAGATGCTTAACAACTGAGCCACCCAGGCGCCCCTCAAATTTGATAGAATTAATTCTCATTCTATTGAAGGATTTGAACATTCCTAATATTCGTTATAATGGAATTTCACTATTCAACAGAGGCCATAATTCTGCCTAATTTAACTGCATTTAGTTTTCTTGTCCAGAATTGTTTGCTTATTTGAAAAGTAGTTGCTGGGCGCCTGGGTGGCTCAGATGGTTAAGCGTCTGCCTTTGGCTCAGGTCATGATCCCAGGGTCCTGGGATCGAGTCCCGCATCGGGCTCCCTGCTCCTCGGGGAGCCTGCTTCTCCCTCTGCCTCTCTCTCTCTCTCTCTCTCTCTGTCTTTCATGAATAAATAAATAAAATCTTTAAAAAAAAAAAAAAAGTAGTTGCTGCTGGGTGGAGATACAATCAATAATTAAGTCATTAGCTCTTAGTGAAATAAGGATTCCGTGTTCAAATATGTTGAATAAAGTATGCATATCATATCAGTCACCTGGTCACAATATATATTCAAACACTGAAGGTTTTGAAATATCATACAGTACGTTTACCAGCATTTCCCAAACTTACTTGACCACACAATTCCTATTTTAAGCAACAACTGTGATGTCCCAGGGACTCCTGAAGGTGACTAAGGAATACTTTCTTCTCAGGATGTACTTTATTGACAATAGTGGTTGAAGTTTCTATTCAAATTTCTTTCATAAGCAAACCAGTGGCCTTTAATTTATTTTAATGCTAAAATATTTTCTTTTACAGATAGTGAGAACGTTATGCCTTTTTCTGACTCCAGCAGAGAGAAAATGTTCCAGATTATGTGATGCAGAATCATCATTTAAATACGAGTCAGGGCTCTTTGTACAAGGCCTGCTAAAGGTATAGTTTCCATTTGTCACAAGTGAAAGCAACTTTTTAAAATCATTTTTGACACTCTTTATAAATATATTTTGAGTGTTAGCATGTAGGACATCATGTTATATGCCAAGGAGCTGACCTATACACAAGTCTCGGCTTAGAGTGTATGTCTTACAGATTTACACTTAGTATCAGTGAGACATTCATAGAGTCTCTTTTTGTGTGTTTCTCTTTGGTTTCCCATAGCTGCTTGTCTGACCTCAGGATTATTTATTCAAGTTGCATATCTAAAATGGGTACCTTTCTTTTTAACTGAAAAGAATTTGAATTTTTTTTTTTTTTAAGATTTTATTTTTATTTATTTGACAAAGACATAGCGAGAGAGGGAACACAAGCAGGGGGAGTGAGAGAGGGAGAAGCATGCTTCCCGCCGAGCAGGGAGCCCGATACGGGGCTCGGACCCAGGACCCTGGGACCATGATCTGAGCCAAAGGCAGACGCTTAATGACTAAGCCACCCAGGCGCCCCAAGAATTTGAATTTTCATTAGCATTTTTTGTTCATGTGCTGTATTCATTTATTGAAAGAAAATTTTAAACTGCTTCCTGTCTTCGGAAAGTGTATATAGAATTTGAACAATTCATATATATACATATTCACATAGGTGTATTTTTAAATTATTTTACATTTTTTATTTACTTGAGTCTGCTTTTTTTTAATTCTAGTATAGTTAACATACAGTATTATATTAGTTTCAGGTGTGATCTAACAATTCTATACATTACTCAGTGCTCATCATGATTAGTGTACCCTTTAATCCTCGCTCCCTATCTTACACATCCCTCCCACCACCTCCTCTCTAGTAACCATCAGTTTGTTCTCTGTGGTTAAGAGTCTGTTTTTAGGTTTGTCTGGATTTTTGGGGGGTTATTTTGTTTCTTAAACTCCACATATGGGTGAAATCATATGGTATTTGTCTTTCTCTAATTGAGTCCGCTTTTCAAGGAGCAAAGCAGATAAATGTAAATTAGCAATTATTTTCAGTAATTACAGGGAAGATACTTTACTGAATCTATCATTGATATTTCAATTATAGTCAAAGATGTGAAAAAGTAGATTTCCTAATGGTTATGTGATTTTCTCACAGTGAATGCTTTCTTAAGGATCTAGGCATAGCAAAATGAAAGAAAATATATTAAAAACTGTTGCAAATAAAAATTATATTCAGCTTTTGCATTTTCAATAATGTGCATGCTCTGAGCTCAGAATAATATTTAAACACAGAAACTACTTAAGGGAAACTCATTTCCAATTTGAACTGCACAAATATGAAAATTAGAATTTCTTTTTATCAAAGACATAATAAGGTACTTAGTACTTTTATTTCCTCAGCACCCTCTTACTTAATTATGTAATTTTTATCCCTGAAAAGGACCTACACCAGATACATAGAAGAAAACTTGAAACTATAATGAAAAAATATTTGTTAACACTTTTCCATACACGTATAAATTGTTAAGCCTTTCAGAAAATATTTTACCATTATATGTCAGGAGCCTTAAAAATGTTCAAAGACTTAACCTACTATCTCTACTTCTGGAAATCCATCCTAGGGAAACAATTATATAAGGAGAAAGATTTACTTATAAAGGTATTATTACAGCATTATAAGGGTAAAAAATTGAAAATAGCCTCTGTATTGTGTTCATAATCTATACCACAATGCTTCGTACACAGTAGATAATTCTTACATGGCATTTAACTACCCAATTGACAATACCTGGAAAGACATACATTTTTTACTTATAAAAATACATATTCATTGAGATTTAAAAGAACATATAAATAATCTATAAGAAAATAAAAAGTTCCCCATAGTCTCATAATCCAGTGAATAACCACTGTTAATATTTGGCATATATCTTGGTCTTCTTTTTATTCTTCTGTATGTGTCTTTGACATAACTCCCTGCCCCCTCCACATATTTTAACCTCCATTTTCCACAATATATTATGAACATCTTTCTATATCAGCACATAAACTTCAGCAAATTAATTTTTAGCAGCTAAACAAAAAACCATTTTTATTTAATCACTTATCTTTTGGCTGCTTAGCTTGTTTTCTAGCATTTTACTATTTAAACCAGTGCTGTAGTGCACACATCACTAAGACTTTGTACACAATCATGACTAATTTCCTAGGATAAACTTCTAGAGATGGATTTGTGAAAGCCAGTTTTTCTAATTAAAAAATAATTCTTCGTATCTTTTGGCATATAAGACAGTAAATTTTCTTTTCATTATGACAGGATTCAACTGGAAGCTTTGTGCTCCCCTTCCGGCAAGTCATGTATGCTCCCTATCCCACTACACACATAGATGTGGACGTCAATACTGTCAAGCAGATGCCACCATGTCATGAACATATTTATAATCAGCGTAGGTACATGAGATCTGAGCTGACAGCATTCTGGAGAGCCACTTCAGAAGAAGACATGGCTCAGGATACTATCATCTGTACAGACGAAAGCTTCACTCCAGATTTGTATGTAATGATATTGTTAAACAGTATTATGAAATTATATCTTTTATGAGTAAAAACAAAACAAGCCTATGTTTGAAAGGAAGGAAATATTACTAAGAGAATTATGCTTGAAGAAATAATTTGGTTAATCATGCCCTTTTTTTAAAAAAAAATTTTATTTATGTATTTGACAGAGAGGGATATAGCAAGAGAGGGAACACAAGCAGGGGGAGTGGGAGAGGGAGAAGCAGGCTTCCCGCGGAGCAGGGAGCCCGATGCAGGGCTCCATCCCAGGACCCCAGGATCATGACCTGAGCCAGAGGCAGACGCCTAAGGACTGAACTACCCAGGCGCCCCTGCCTTATTTTTTTTTCTTAAATGTCTATTTTTCTTAATATAATTGTGTTTTGCATAGATAGGTTAGATTAGTCCCTAAAAGTAAATATTCAAGTATTTACTTAACAAATATACATTGAGGCCCTACACATGATAATAGGTGCTAATAAGGTTGGGCCTACAGTCTAGTGTATGAGTCATCAAAAGGCTTATTAACTAAACCAAAGAACCAAAGAAGTAATTCTTTTTTTTTCTTGATATGTGAATATAAAATACAGCAGAACTGTGAAAATGCATGTATAGAGCATTCTTTTATTTGCATTTTATATTGTTTTTCATTTTTTTATTCATAAAGTATGATCAGTAAATTAAAAAGAGAAAAAGTAATGATAAAATGTTGAAAGTTGACCCAGTTAGAGGGGGAAAAATTAGAAACCCGAATTATAAAACCCCAAGAAAATACTTAAGTTCTAAATCAGGAGAAATGCAGTATAGTCTGATGGTTCTCTTTAATCAATTTTTAATCAATTTAGAGTGCCCAGCACATATAATGTGCTCAATACATGTTAACTGTGATAATCCATGTTTGAGTGTATAAAGCAGCAGTAAAATTGGAGCAAGCAGCCCTGTCCTGTAATTCTAAGAAACATTTGGAGCTGAGCCAGGGGACATGTGGAGCACCAATAGTCACACAGAAGTTATTGACCGAAAGCATAGAAAAAGAACCCCATGTCCAAGGGATCCTCAGCTTCATGTGTCTCCAAGTCCAGAAAGATGGCATCATTAGGACCCATCTTTTTCCAGCTGTCCACTGTTTTTGTGGGTTCCATAGAAAGTTTTACGGAAATTTGTTTAGAAAATGAATTAGTCAAAACGGGAATTCCAGGTGACTAATTTTTTAAGTATTGGTAATTGTGGTACATGTGTAGGAATTCTCAAAACTAATCTGTGCTTTCAAGCATTTTCTTCTTTCCTGAAGTATTTAGTATTTTCTCCCCTTTTTTTGGTTACTTCAGAGCTCTTTTTGGGGAAATTTAGTGAACTTTAGAATGGATTTATCATCCAGTAATTTTATTTTTATTTTTTTAGAGGAGGTATGTGTATGCTTTGAACATTTCTTACTCATTTTAGCCAGTTATGTTTTGATTGCTTCACTGATTTGACAGACTTTGATTAGCCAGCTAGTCTTATTTTACTGATGATTAAAAAAATGACATCATGAATTTTTAAAATTTATTTACAACTCCCAAGTAAATTTTCTGAACACAAAATTGTCCAAAAATAATATTCTGCCATTAGATTGTATATTAACTTTTACATATAACAGATATATTTACTTTTTAGTTTTCTTTAAGCAGTATTATTTATTTTTAAGATATTTTTAATTTTAACTTCTAAAAATAATTTCACTCACCGCCATTACATGGAAAATGAGTGACTGGAAATATCCTTTTTTAACACTTTGCTTCATCTGATTCACCTATGACAGAGACAATCAGTTTGAAAACGGGTGCTGCCAGCTAGTAATCATGCAGGGCTGACTTTTTTTTTTTTCCTTCTGAGTTTCCTTCCTTCTTCTGCAATTTGGTACACCCATCTCCTAAAGTAGGAAATTTTAAGTACTTTCCTATTTCTCTATGCACACACCCCTCTTTGTTTGCCTTTCTTGTCAGTTCAGTGATGATCCCTACCATTTTCAGTGAAAAATTGCTTACCTTATGCTGTGTTAGAGATACATTATCTCTAGTGTGTATTATGTCTTAACTTCTTACTCTGATCATTGCCTAGGTAGGTAACCCTTTCCTAAGTAGTTGGTTCATGTTACTTGCTTGGTGATAAGTTTGTTGATGCAGCTCAGTGGTCAAGATGTTCCTTAATCCCACTTGAATTCTCCTTAGCATTTACCCTTTTACCTTTTTCTTCCTGAACAGCTTATTACAAGTTACTAGAACATAAAGTTAACCTTTTATTTTGTTCTGGGTTTTGGTGGTGGTGGTATGTGTTTATTTTTCTTGCTGTTTTATTATTTTTTTTGAGATGGCAGGAATTGGCAATCATATTTATTAATTCTCTAAGGCTTTCAACATTTTTTTATAAGGTGAGGGTACAAAAATAGATTGATAGGGACTTACATGCCCTTCTTGGGGCTGTTTATATTTTTAAGAGAAAAATAATTGCATAGTGGCTCGACAAATTCCAGTAATACACAAATGTATCCTTGAGTTAAAATATTTTTATATCTCTAAATATATTTATATATATAATTTTTATAAGTATGTTTATATATAATATTCCATTTCTAAGAATTTAATTTATTGGCTAGAGTGAGGGATTTTGGAAAGTAGCCATTTCAATGTTTGGACTGTTTTCTTCATAGGAATATTTTTCAAGATGTCTTACACAGAGACACTCTAGTAAAAGCCTTCCTGGATCAGGTAAATGTTAAACCTGAGATTGTCAAAATGAATGCTATGATATGTTTTCTTTTTAGTGTATACTACATTGCCTGTGCTATATATGTAGCATCATAGAATTAAGTTTTTTTTTTAAATCATTATCTTTTTGTAATGTTTCAGATCTTTCTAAAGTGTCTACATAGTGTTTCTTTTGAATTGTTAATGGGTGTAGCCTATATATTAACAGTGAAAGATGCGATATGTCAGTCAAATAATTAATGTTTTAATTCCAACCACTAACCTATCACTCTTTTGGGGAAAGGAGAATATTTTTTATTTGCCTTAATTGAGCCAAAATGTCTTTAAAACTTAGTATACTTCTGAAATAATAACATCTTTATTGTCTCATTCTTTTGAAAAATATCTACTTAGTTAACATTTGAAGAAAATTATAGATTATATGGGACTTATTTCTTAATATAACAGCTTTGTCATAGTATCATTCTGGGGACCAGGCCAGGAAACAGTATCATAGAGGTAACTTTGAAATAATGAGGTCCTTAGATTAACTCAAAATTTTAGATCCAGGTCTGTGTAGTCTGTGACATATTGCATAGTTCAAGGATAATTCATAGTCATGCAATTAATTCCATGCTTCTCGAGCTGAATAAAATCATTTAACCACTACACAGGTACCCTTACCCCCAACAGTAGAGAGAGAAGAATATCTCAAACCCATAATCTGTAAGCATGGCTTGACTTCTGGGAGCTTCAATTTTATTTGGAGATGTGGGCAGAAAAAGTTAAATAATACAAATGGAAGTAAATTACATCATGATTCTTTTTTTTATATATTTTATTTGAGAGAGAGGGAGAGCACGCACAAGCAGGGGGAGGGGCAGAGGGAGAAGCCGACTCCCTGCTGAGCAGGGAGTCCGACATGGGGCTCGATCCCAGGACCCTGGGACCATGACCCGAGCCGAAAGCAGCCACTTAACCAACTAAGCCACCCAGGTGCCCCTACATCATGATTGTTAATAATAAAGTAAATAGGGATATATTCTGAGATAGAATGCAAAATTTGAGTTCATTTTCAAAGATAAAATAGAACACTTAAGAAAAACGTGATTGCTTTAGACTCTACTTCCTGTCTATTAGGGACATCCAGGCAAATGGTTATGGAGAACTGCTCTAATATGTGTTATCTGCCAGACATTGTCAACGCTGTGATGGAAACATGCTGTATAAGAAGAATTGGAGCAGATTATTTATTAAAATACTTCATTTTCCTGTAGGTCTTTCATTTGAAACCTGGTTTATCTCTCAGGAGTACTTTCCTTGCACAGTTTCTACTCGTCCTTCACAGAAAAGCCTTGACGCTAATAAAATATATAGAAGATGATACGTAAGTAAAACCACATGGAATAAAAACCTTTGTGCATTGTGTTTTGTTTTGTTCCTTTTGGACGTTTTCTATATTTTTATATATAAAAATTTTTTTTCTTCATTATTTATAGGCAGAAGGGGAAAAAGCCCTTTAAATCTCTACGGAACCTGAAGATAGACCTTGATTTAACAGCAGAGGGCGACCTTAACATAATAATGGCTCTAGCCGAGAAAATTAAACCAGGCCTACACTCGTTTATCTTTGGAAGACCTTTCTATACTAGTGTTCAAGAACGAGATGTTCTAATGACTTTTTAAATGTATAACTTCTGAAGTATATTTTGTCACAATCATGATTGCTGCTAAAGTAGCTCCGTGGTGTAGGAGACATCATTCCCTCAGGTCATGCCCTAGAGTCCTACTTGGCAGTGCAGTTAAAGTTAGTTACACTACATTTGTCACAAGTCTGTAAGGGGATGTCAAGTGCATCGTTACAATGAATGCATCTTTTCCTAGATGTGCTATCTTGGGATACAAACTTAGGTTTACAGTTATAGTAAATGTTACTGCTCTCTTTTAAAGATATAATAATAGAATATAAACTTGACCACAACTACTGTTTTTGTAGCTTACAATTCATGGTTTACATGTATCAAAGTGAAATCTGAGTTAGTTTTCACAGATAAATACTAGTTGACTTTTCATCTCTTGGTGTTCCTTGAACATAGGTTAAGTTTTAGAAAGGATATATTGATCAAGCAGATGCTTAATTCAAATTATCAGATCATACTTCATAGACTTAGTAGTCCTTAGAGTTCAGTTTGTGTAAAAATGTCATGCAATACATGTAGTCCCGACGGTGAACCATGGTCAGGGTATTTGTTTGTTTGTGTATTTTGTGTTGAGCTCTGTCAAAGAAAATAGAGGAAATTGGATTTTATGTTTTAGTAGTTATTGCCAACTATTTAAATTAATTTTTATTATTTTTGAGCCAAATTGAAATGTGTACCTCCTGTGCCTTTTTTTTTTCTTGAAAAATATAATGACTTGGAAGAAGTTCAGATTACACTAGTCATTCATTTTTATCTTGTTTTCCTCTTATAGATTCTCACCCTGATTTGGCAGTTGTGACTCCCAAGATTATAAAATGCAATAGAGAATATACTAACTAGTAAGATCTTTTTTCAGGAACAGAGAATAGTATCTTGTCCTTTTCCTTCTTCTATTTCTGCCCATAGTTTTGAAGTTGCTGGCAGGTCTCTTTGCCTGCATCTTGTGAGGAAAGCAGGAGAAACTTTACTGATGTGCTATTTTACTAGGTGCTACTTTGGCAAAACTAAGTGATCAATTTCTTTTGTTTCCTTAATGTGTTTGGACCATTTTGCTAGCTATAAAATAAGTGATTACTATAATTCTGTGCTAGAACAGTTTTGACATAATAGTATATACAAGCAGCTAAAATATTTTTATTTAAAACTGTGGAAGTTACACAAAAGGGAAAAATATTTATAAGAAAGGGATAAAAGTGACAGAGTCCCTCTGCTGTTGCTCACCAAATTGAACCAAAACCACATGTTCTTTTCAGAAAGGTCCTAATTGCCTTTCACATCACTGATAGAAAGGTATAGACAACTTGATTTATAGACACAAATGGTACTGGATGACTGGCGCTCTGGCTCAGTCATGAAAGAATTTACAGGTAGTACTTTGTTGTACCCCTTACTCAGTGCTTTCTATGTGAGATTATTAAAGAGTACTGACTGATTATCTTCTTTTGCTGATTTATTGTACTATGATAAAGAATGCAAGTTGTACAGTGAAATAAGTTATTAAAGCATGTGTAAACATTGTTATATATCTTTTGGATGGAGAGTTTTGAATAAAATATCTTTGAAATTTTGTCTCAATTATTTGTTCAGAAAAGCAGTGTTATGATAATTAAAGACTGACAGTCTATGTTATATCTAAGCTTTTTTTACTTTTTTTTTTTGAAAGAAAATGTATTAGAAGTTTCTTTATAATGCCCGGAATCTTTTCTTTATAATGCTGGTTGCTTTTATTATTTTATTATTTTTTTTTCTTTATTTTTTCTTTCATTTTGTATTATTATTTTTTTTTTATAAACCCTTGTGTGGAGGGCTGACTTTCAATACTCTGCTACGTAGGAAACCCCAACCCAGAAGCAGGTCGTCTACAAATGGTTTAGCACCAGGTTCCCCACGAACATGCGTTGCGTGATAGGCGAGGGGGCAGCCCCCTTTCCAGTCGCGCCCCGTTTCCTGGGACGAGGAGCTCTCCGCACCAGACCCTGGTCCCAAAGCGCGGCGTGCGGTGCCACGCCACGCCACGTGGGGCGCCTGAGCTTTTACTATTTTTTTTAACTTTTTTAACAGGATTGCAATTTGAGTTTTAAATTTATATGTTAATATTTCAAATGTAAGCTAATGCTAATGCTTGGGTAATTTTTTTAAATTTCTGCTATAAAATATTACTATAACCTGAGCTGAAGTTATTTCTTCCAGGTATCCAGTATAGGTGTCCAAAATGAAAGTGCAGGGAATCTAACTAAACCTTATAATCTGGAAAACAAATAAGATTGCCATTTTTGGGGCACCTGCGTGGCTCAGTCGTTAAGTGTCTGCCTTCAGCTCAGGTCATGATCCCAGGGTCCTGGGATCGAGCCCCACATCGGGCTCCCTGCTCCTCGGGAAGCCTGCTTCTCCCTTTCCCACTCCCCCTGCTTGTGTTCCCTCTCTCGCTGTGTCTCTCTCTGTCAAATAAATAAAATCTTTTTTAAAAAGAAAAAAAGATTGCCATTTTTACTCCAGGTAAAAAAAAAATGTAATTCATAAATATAATAGTTGAGTTGAAAGGTTTCTTTAAAAGAAGACTGATTCATCACATGCTAAGAATCTTACAGAAGAAACCAAAACTTCATATAATGCTATAAAGTAAAAGTGAGAATGATGGCTGTGGTCTGTTTCCGTAATGCTGCAGGTTAAACAGGAGGGTAGTGATTGTTACTCTTATGTAACACTGTTTCGGTTTTGAATTGACGTTTCTCCTATGATCGGGAGAGTGTAGCCTAAAGTACCCCCAATTAATATGTAGCCCACTGGACTTTCTCAATCCAACATCGCAACACTATGAGGCCAGTATTATTATTTCCACTTTAAAAATGAGGAAACTAAAGCTTAAATAAAATGTGCAGCCCATGGTCACTCAGCTAGTGACATTAGACTTCATCCCAGGAAGTATAGTAGTTGCCATGCAGCACAGCACCTAGTACAGTTCCTCCATGTAGTAGGTACTCAGTGTTGTCGAAATGAAGGGAAGGGAAGGGAAGGGAAGGAAGCAAGTATTATCGGCCTACTAGTCCTCTGCAGCACCCAAGTGTCATCTCCTGCTGGGTCGCTTGGAGAAGTTACTTAACCTGAGGCTCATGTTTTAAATATTTGAAATGAGTGCATGATGATACCTCATGATTGTTAAAAGAGGATTTAATGAGACTGTTTAAGGTGCTTACACCACTACCTGACCAAAGCTTCATACCTGCTTTTTTATCCAATCTGAAAATCACCACCTTTTAACCAGGGTATTTTAGAACATTTTACATTTAATGCGATTATTGATATGGTTTAGGTTAAATCTATCATCTTGCTAGTCATTTTCTATTTGTTCTTTAGCGTTTTTTTTTTTCTTTTTCTGTTTTGAGTATTTTTATGATTCCATTTTATCTCTTGTTGACTTATTGTCACTGTTTTTCAGTGATTGCTAGTTTAGTAGACTACACACACACACACACGGATGTATATAAAGATCTATATTATATATACGTCTTTACCTTCTCAGTCTACATTCAAGTGATCTACTACTTGACAAAAAGTTGAAGAACTTTATAATAGTATACTTCCATTTCTCCCTTCTCACTTTTGGGCTATTGTGGCCTCACATTTTACTTCTACATATGCTGTAAACTCCATACTTTGTTGTTATGATTTTTACTTAATTACCTTTTAAAGGGATTTAAGTGTAAATATTCTAAATCAAAAGGTATAAAGTGTCCTATTGGATAAAAAAACAAGACCCAACTATATGCTACCAACAAGACACATCTTAAAAATAAAGGACAAACAGATGAAAAGGATGGAAAAGATACACCATACCAACACTAATAAAATGAGAGCAGGAGTGACTATGTTAATAACAGAAAAGCAGATTTCCGAGCAAAAAATATTACCAGAGATAAAGATTATTTTGTAACGCTAAAGAGGTCAGTTCAGCAAGAGGACATAACAACCCTAAGTGTTTGTTTACCTAGTAACAGTTTCAAAATACACAAAGCAAGGGGCGCCTGGGTGGCTCAGCCGTTAAGCGTCTGCCTTCGGCTCAGTTCATGATCCTGGGGTCCTGGAATCGAGCCCCGCATCGGGCTCCCTGCTCCGCGGGAAGCCTGCTTCTCCCTCTCCCACTCCTCCTGCTTGTGTTCCCTCTCTCGCTGTCTCCCTCTGTCAAATAAATAAATAAAAAACCTTTAAAAAAAAAAATACGCAAAGCAAGAACCGTAAGGAGAAGTAGTCCAATCTACAATTATAGTTGGAGATCTGAAGATCCCTCTCTCAATGCTTCATGGAACAAAAAGACAAATATTAGAGCTAGATTGTGCATAAGTTCAATTTTAATGAAGGACTTTAGAAGAAAAAAATCTATATCCAAATCAGCAAGGATATAAAAGACTTGAACAAGACCGTCAACCAATTTGGTGTGACATTTATAGAACACAGCAGTACTCCACAGTAGATTCACACATTCTTTTCAAACCACAGGGAACACATACAAAGATAGACCATATTCTGGGCCATTAAGCAAGTCTCAATAAATTAAAAGGATTCAAGTCATACAAAGTATATTCTCTGATCACAATGGAATTACTATTTGGAAACTAGCACTTGTAAAGGATTAGATGATTTCTAAATCGTATGTGTTTGGGGGACAAGGGGAAGTGGATTGGAAAGCAGAAAGGGAGGTATCATTGGGGAATGATTTTTATGAATAGTGGAACTCAGACAAGCTATGTTGGAGAAGATATCTACAGTGCATAGATCTGACCTAGATCTTGTATCCAGAATATAAGAAGAGCTCCTACTTATTAAGATGACAACCCAATGTTTTTAATGGGCAAAAGATTTTAACATATTTCACACAAATGCATTAATGACCAATCATCACATAAAATCATGCCCAATGTTAATCATCAGGGAATGACAATTAGAATTGCAGTGGATATCACTGCACAGCTAAGAATGGCTGGTTAAAATAAAGGTTGATAAGTATTGGTGAGGCTGTGGAGCAACTGGAATTCTCATACATTGCTGATAAGAGTATAAAGTATTAAAACCACTTTGGTAGTCTTCTCAAGTTCAGTACATACTTGCCATATGATCCAGCAATTCTACTCCTAAATATTTCCCCAAGAGAAAGGAAAACATGTCCACAAAACTACTTGCACACAACTGTTCGTAGAAGCTTTATTCATAAAAGTACCAAAATGGAAAGAGTCCAAATGTCCCATCAATGAAAGAATGGATAAACAAATTATAATATATAACAATAAGTACACAGGAATAAAAAGGAATGAACTAGTGAGATCCCTGGTGGCTCAGTTGGTTAAACGTCTGCCTTCGGCTCAGGTCATGATCCTGGGGTCCTGGGATCAA